AGATTATTCTGAGATTAACATCTGAGATCAATTGCTTGTACAAACAATACCAAACTGAACCCTACAGGCCAAAAACCAGTGTGTTGCCTGAGACAGAAGAATACCAAGTGAGTTTTCAAACATTCAGGAAAATCTTGCTAGGGACATAACTGTACAATAAATTCAAGAGGTAGGTAGAAAATTTGAGTCACCAGAATCTGTTTTCTGGCAAGACTGTTGGAAACACTGTCAAGACCACCTAGTTTGGAGTGGAGAGCTGGCAGATGAGGGAACCCCACATCTATTATAATTCACGGGGGGTCCTTGGATAGACAGTCAATCCATCAGGCTGCCAAGGAAAAGAATACAGCGTCTGCTGGTGGCAAGGGAATTGTGATTTCTAACTACACCGCTACTGAAGTTCTGAATGAAAGAACAGGCCCTGTTGAAACAAAAGAAGTGTGAAACATTCTGTCTGATGTGTCTTGACAAGGCACTTGAGCAGTATTCAACACTCAAATTATTACAGAAAGAGTTGGGTGATTTAAGAGACCTGAACAAGGAAAATATTGAATTAGCTGTCATCTCTGATGAAGCAGAAATGGAGCAGGCATTCCCACTTAAAAAAAAAAAATTATTAAAGTTTTCATGTAATGCCTCTTAGCTGCTTTTTGAATTCATTTTTAGAGACTTTAAGACTGTCCAAAAGTGGGAGCTGCAGATCTCCTCTCCATTGTGTTCTTCACTGTCACTCACAAGTGCTTCAAATGGTGACAGAAGTGCCCCCAGCCTGGCTGTGTGCTCACACATCTCCTGGCCTCAGCTTCTCCCTGGGCTGGCCATGGCTAGGGTTACTTTACTGCAAGGGACTTATAATGATTAAAAGGATATCAGGGTGACTGTGTTATCTCAGGACTGACCATTCTGCCATGCCTGGTGACGTGGCCTAGACACTTCCAGTAGTTCCACCTGGAAGCAGCTGTCCCTGCACAAAAACCAGGGATAATCATATGCTGGGGAGATGGAGTGGTTGGGCTCAGCTCCCTGCTGTGCCAGCACTTTTTAATTTGGAATTGCCAGGAAAGATGCAAGTCCAACATGAATTCTTGTCTTTAAAACACTAAAATGAGCCAGAAATCACAGGCTTTAAATGTTCCAGGCATTTTAATGATGATGAAGGTCAAAAACAAAGTGCAGACTGTGGCAGTGAGGGGGTGTCAGAGACAAATTGTTATTTCCACTGAAGGAAGTGGACTGGAGAAAGCAGGCAGGCTGCAGGGAGAAGGAGGGCCTGCAGTCAGCACTAACACAAAGGACATTGCCAGGCATGGCTCCATCATTTTACTGCAGCTCAAAGTCCAAGGATTTTGGATCCTCCCATCCCTATAGTGACAGTTAGAGGGATTACAGAAAGGGGAAATGGTTTTGGAGAAGGGGGCTCTGGGATATGGTGGTGCTGGAACAGGCAATTTCTCCTTGATCATCTTATCAGCTCCAGCTGGGAGACTGAGAGAAGAGAGGGCAACAGGTGGTTCCTGAGCCCACCCAGAAAAAGGTGTGTTGCAGTCTAAACTCTAGAGCAGGAAGTGAAAGGCTAAAGCTTTTTGCTTCATTTGGAGTGGTTTTTTTATTTGTTTCATTTATGAAAAGATATATGCCTTAGCTTGCACTGTGCTCTTGCAGGGCTTTTGAGCTAACAATAGGATGTGTATTTGTGAAAGGTGTTGGAAAAGCCCTGGTGGCTGCCTTGAGCTCTTCCTGGGTGAGTAAATATTGTACTGGCTCATGCTAAGGCAACAGAAAAAACAGCAACGCTTCAGCAAGTTCTTACTTCTTGTTTGGGTGATGCAGCCCTCTTTGTGCTCAGCTAAAAGCAAACTTTAAAGGTCAAAGCTTTGTATTTTTTCTGTGTGGCTTTCCCAGAGACAGCATAAAAAAGACATTTCCAGGGTTTTTTTGCAAATCACTGATGCCAGTGATACTGGACTCATGTGGCTGGGAACCAGTATCATTGACAAGTACACAAAGTCACTGTTTCTGCAAAGTAGCTGAAGAATTCTTTTGCTTTTGAAAATCAAGCACTGAGATAATATATTGGCAGGCAGGAAAGGGAGAAATTCATTTGCAGAGGCTCGCTAGGCTCAAGATAGAACTCCACAAAGTTGAGAAAAAACAGCTTTCTGTGGCTCTGCTGAGTTCCTGTTCATTACTTAGCCAGACATGACCTTGCACACCTTCTTCAACACCAGGGACTAGGAGATCTTCTGTGGTAAACATAGCCCATAATAACCCTGTTCTCTAATCTCTGCTTCTGTAGCTGATGGCACCCTTTACAAAAGTGTGTGTGTGTATATATCTATATCTCCCTGAGGCATCTAATTGAGAAATGGCTTTGTGAGGGAATAAGAACATTTGGGTTGCAGAAAGTAATTACACAGGCACAGGTTGATTTGCTTGATTAGTGTTACATCCCAATGTTGTTATCATGAGACTGGCTGTGTATTAAAGCATTCCTGAGGGATTTGGGTGGGCATGGCACCTTTGGAGAGCCTAGCAGAGAGTCCCTAAATCTCTGCTCTCTGTGTGAGCAGCCACAGTCCCTCCTCCCAAAGGCAGGGCAAGGCTTTGCCATCACTGAAATATCAGCCTCCTAAGTAGTTACTTTTGCCTCTCAAGCAAAGCTGCTGTGCCTTAAAGGGTGAAGGCAGGTCTGCTGGTCTTAATTGCCTCCTTCCCCAGTGACCTGGGAGATTGTTCTCTAACTGGCTGTAATTACCTTTTCTGTAAACTACCCGCAGTGCACTCTGCTTTCTGTGTTACGTTCATTAACAGGATTCTGTTCTGTGGGTTAACGTATGCTGGGAATGTCCCCTCTGTAGGAACAGACTGATTTGTGTAGCAAGTGTTTGTGAGATACCCTGAGGAACAAATCTGTGCCAGGTAACTGATTCAAAATGAAATTCATAATGTTGAGGACAGAGTATCTATGGGTGCTCAAGTTGCAGGGTGGATGTATGTGTGAAACATTCACCTGAAAAGGGGGAGATGAACTTTTTATTGTCCATGAAAGAGCTTGAGGGCAAGGTTGGCTCTGATCCTGTGCTTGCAGAATATTTCTGCCTGTGGTTCGTGTTTGTGGCATGATCACTTGTGTGAGGTGAGGAGGGGATTTATCCTGCGAGTGGCACTTTTGGTGTTTTTGTGAGGAAAGTGGGCTGCTAATTTGGCCCTGGAGCAATGTGGGAAGAATGAAAGCTTCCCTTTGTATCCTGACTCAAACATAACGACTGAGAGAAGGCTCACCATGCATTGCTTGAAAAAAAAAAATAATTAAAAAGAGCTGAATCCCACCATATGTTTTTTCATGTTATTGTCTAGATATTTAACTGTGTGGATTGGTTGGTTTTCAGATAGATAAAAGCATGCAGCACATAAATATAACTCTTAATGCTTTTAACAGCATCCAGCTCTTACTGCAGCCCCTGGATGTGGAGTTTTCTGCTGTGTCTCCTATAATGAGCATGGAAGCCTGGCTGCTGTGCCAAGCACAGCTGGGAAGGTTTGCCTGGCAATGCTGTTGACTGCTGGATAGTAATGGGGGAGACTTGGGTTTTTTCTTGCCCAATGAAGCAATTCCAGTGAGAGCTCAGCTCTGAGCCTCCAAGTGTCTGTGTGTGGACACTGCTCTGCTGGCAGTGGGGGCCCTTGAGCTGCTGTGGAACAGTGATAGGCTTCCTTAGTGCAGCAAACCAGTCAGAAAGATGCTCTCAAAAAGGTGCAGGCGGGGAGCTATTGCTGAAAAACTTGTTTCACGAGTGCCTTTGGAGTGAATTTCCTCCTGTGTAGGAGCCCTTGCTCAGAGCATTTCCCCATGTGTTTCCAGAGAGAGAGAGAGCACTTGATGGCTGGGCTTGTGCACAGTGCTCAGATCTCAAAGGCACCAGGCACTCCAAGTGCTTGGCACTCAGAATCAGCCCTGATGAGCATTCATACACCTGGTTTGGCTAATGGAATTACCCCAAGTGTTCTGATGTGCAAAATTGTTTCAATTATATGTGAGACTACTGCTCTTGCTGGGTATGTGGATACCGCAATGGTCTGGAGAGGAAGCAGATGAATATAGAAATTGTAGAAATGGGAATAAGGGTTTAGAAATTAAATAGAAATTTGCTTTTAAAAAACAAAAGGCTTGCTTATTGTTCCTGAAAGCATTGAGTATTTACAAGAAAAACCCTCCAGAATAAAGGCTGGAGAATGTGATATTGCGTGCTTAGGGATTCAATTAATCTCTGACTATGATTCCCACATGTGGAAAATGACAAGAAATAACTGTCATGCTGTTGAGCTCTGTCTATTCTTTCCAAGTTGCACACATCTTTGAAAATTACTCTGAACAAATTTAATGGTGTCCCTGGATACAACAAATCAGGAAAATAAGTGTAGAGGAGCCCCCAGTGAGCAGTCTGTGGGCCTTTTGCTCTATCAGATGGTTATGTCACTTGCTCAAGTGCATGCTGTGCTTCCACCCTGTAACTGGTAACTTTAAATGCTTACCTGCTAGTCTGGTAATGAAAATTATCCTGCTAACTTTTAGAAGTCATGCTGGGGCTGTGACTTCTTCAGGCTCTTTTTTTTTTCTTTTTGCTCTTTTTTTTTTTTTTTTTTAAATTCAGTGATGGTGGGGTGTAAAAAGGCAACAGTCTTGTGCTGTTCTGGCTACTTTACAGCAATGGTGAGAGAAATAATACAGAACAGGCCTCTAGAAGGTATTACATATATGTGCAACATACATGTGTATGCCCCTCTGTATAAGTGCATAAGATCCATAAGTGCATCAATGCATGCATGTGGGGAAAATGGCTTTTAATCTCAGCTTGTGGTTCATGTATCTGCTGGTTGTAACAGTGAACTTTCAGCCCTTACAGGAAAAAAAGCTTCTCAGCTTTTTCAAGCTTTGCCTCCTTTTGAACACCCATTAGCACACACACATCTGGGATTGTATCCCCCAGTTCTTGCCTTACCTTCACATCGTTGACGTTCATCCTGGTCCCCTCCTTCCCGACAAAGATGTCGTCGATGTCAACCAGAATGTACCTCTCCAAGGACAGTGTTAGCTTCTTCCCCGACAGGAAGGAGATGGCGTCGAGGAAGATGAGCTTGTGGAGCCAGAAGGCCAGGTTGTTCCCAAAGAGGACTCTCTGGATGCCATCGTGCAGGCCCAAGTCCTGGACGACGGTGGCATAGAGAGCAGCCCTGGGCAGCACAGGGGGGGTGGGCCTGTTGGGCTGCAGCTCGCTCAGCAGCACGGGCTGGAAGGTGGAGTGGTTGAACTGGAACACCGTCCAGTCCTCGCCGGGCAGCGGGCCCTGCTCCACCCTGGGCGCTTTGGTGATGCGCAGCAGGGGCGAGCGGGGGTTCACCACGCAGTCTTGGAGGGCCACGTTGTTGTACAGCTGTAACGGCAGCCCTTTCAGCCTGGTGCTGGGGGAGCTGTTCTCATTGGCTTTATGAAAACCAATTATGCTAACACTGTATTCCACACAGTATTTTTCCAGAAGCTCTCTATTCCATGAGTCCATGGACACGTACTTTAAAATATTCTCATATATAACAATCGTGTACTTCCCTCTCCCGTTGTCTGTGAGAGGGGGAATGTCCCCCTTGGCTGGTGCAATGACCATGTGGTACTGAAACTTGCTGGACTCGAGGATGGCTATGATGTCTTGCCCCAGCTGGGAGTACTGGCTTTCCACGAACAGGAGCACAGTGGGGTCAGTCCTAGAGGGATCAATTGGCTTAGGTGTTCTCAGCTCTGCAGACCTGTAGGGCAGGAGTTTGGGGTCCTCGCACTCTGCTTGCCCAGTGGTTTCCACGAGGGCCATCTCCTGCTTGTAGCCAGTGTAGAGGAAATAGGCAGAGATGACAATACTTGCCAAGCAGAAGGTGGCCAGGAGAACGACCAGCGTTCGGAAGCTTCTGCGGAGCTTCCCGATGAGATTCATCTTTCACAGGGTCTCCAGCTCCTGCTGGACTTGCAGCTCTTCCAGGTGCCCCTCCTAAAGCGCCACGGGAACGAGGAGCTGTGGACGTTCCCCTTCCAAGGTGTTCATGTGACCATTGCAGTGCATTTATGAAGCGTTCAGGGAGGCTGTAAGGCTGTTGGAGCGGGAAGTCAAAGGATCCGGAAAGACAAATTGAAAGAGGTTTTCTCAAAGCGCAGCAGCTGCCAATAATCAATGAAGAGGCCTCTTAACATTATCTGCAACAAGAAGTAAAAGAAGAGTAAGTAAAACAAAATCCATAAAGCAATTAAAAACACACATTAATAAGGCCGGTGATTGATACTGGTAATGTGAGTAAAGAGGGAAGTTTCTGAGTAGTTCAAGGAGCACTCAGTGTCACTTGCTTTCTTGGTGCATTAAGATAAGCTGCATTAAATGGCTCCCCTGTGTTCTTAGGATACAGAAATGAACTCTGAACAAAACTCGTTGAGGATGTGCATCTACTTATCAGCTGCTCTTATCTAAAATGCATTGTTGCTATTGCAGATGGGAACAAGGGAAGATTTTAGGGGTGAAATTTGGACAAACTAAATCTTTAGATCTGGGACCTTGTTCTATGTTGAATTCAAACTGCATAAGACATAAATTCTGTTTTGGATTGGAAAACTAATGTGACCAAAGTGAAAGATGTGACAGGAGTTTGAGGAGAGATTTGTAGGGCTTTCTTTCCAGTTTCCATTCTGCACTTGGAATGATCCGAGTTCATGATCCGGTTTAAGAACTATAAAGATTCTCTGGGGATTTTCCAAGTGAATGAGCAGGCTGCTACTACTGTGGGCTGCAGCTGTGCTTGGCTCTGCCTCCACCAGGGATCAGTGGGAGCTGGTGTGTAGAAGGAGATGTACCTCAAGGAACCTGTTTTAGGTGGGCTGTGTGCTGGTCCATGACAACTCTGCCTGAAGCCCTTGGCCTCTGGTCTGCCCCTGTATGGATGAGGTACGAGGTGCTTAAACCCCATTGCTCTGAAGTCCTTGTGCAATTCCTGGCAGTTCTGACTAAATTAATGAGAAATTGCCAGTGGTAACAGTAAACCGTATGATTCAGAGGCAGTTAAAGCTAACTAAATAAATAGCCCGTGCTGCTCTATGGATTTAAGTAGGAATTAACATCTTTGTGAATTATTGATATTGTTTGTCTATTGGAACAATGTGAGACAGTAAACAGTTTTTGAAACTGTGGGGAAGAAATGTTTTTTCCAGGCATATCCTTCCCAGTTGACGTGTCCTCTTCCATTAACTCAGATTACACTTTTGACTTGTGTTCTGAAAACTATTTATTCCTCTTAAGGTTTGCACGTAAAAGTGGAAAATGCGTGTAAGATGCATTTAGATAGAAGGAGTTGTTTTCTGAGACCATTTGTGACTCTGGTAGGTTCAAGCTCTTATCTGATTTACCTTCCTCAGCTGGAAACTTGGAAGGAGATATCGATACCCCTGGATTGTGGGCTATTCCAGCAGTGATCCTGCTGTGTCACACAACTGGCTAAGAGGGGAGTGAGGTAGGGACAGAAATAAGAAACCTCTTCCGTATTTACTAATTTCTTACGTGTGAGAGAACAAATGTAAGAAGAATCACAGCTACCATTAGGAAATTAAAGTAATCCTGATAATCTTAAGAGTATTTGCCCTGCTTTGGTGCCTCCCTTGTTCTGCAATTGTCTGCTTGCTGGGATTTCCCTTCTTATTAAACGTCCAATTAAGATTTCTTCAAAAGATAACACTGGATCAAGTGAAGCATCCTCTGCAAGGTGGTGTTGGAGTTTGGGTGGCATTGAGGACTCGCTCAGCCCGAGCCCGAGGGTTTATCAGATCGGGACTCCAGGGCTGGGTGATGTGTCCCCCACCCCAAAGCCTGTTCGCTCAGCACCAGACAGGCAGGTAACCGGGAAAGAACCTTGAATTTCCCCTGCCCGAGCTGTGCATCCTCGGCTGGCTTTGGGCACTAGAGGGCAATCGCTTCTCTCACTTGCGAGGCAGCGCCTGCCCTCCCCTCGCTCCCCAGCGCACGGCCACGCTCCCGCCAGAAGCCTTCGGAAATCCCCAGGGCACCTGAAACACCTTAATTAAAACTCCGATGCTTAAAATTAAATAAAAGCCAGGAGTTCTGCTGGAAGAAATGTGCTGCTGGATCACCCTGGATGCTTTGCAAAGCTATCAGCCTCCACCTGTGGCGCAAGGGAATAGCTTGTGAGAAGACCTAAAATGGCACGGTTTTCCCCCAGTGTTTGGCCCTGCTGGATCTCCTGGGTGCTGGTATTCCAAGCTGTCAAAACAATAAACTTCACGAATATTACACCTTGTGCTATTAAAACAGCAGAAGCTCCTGACTTTATACTACTCAAACAAAACTATGGCGTTCATCCCCAACTAATTCCTCCCAATAACATTGGTAAAATCTTACCGAGATAAAATACTAATAATCAGATTTCATGACAGCTACTATCTGTTGTATGTAGATGTTATAATTAAGTGCAAGTATTCCCACTTATTGAGATGTATAATTACATAAAATTGATAAATAATTTAAACCTGCATAAGGAAACCTGGCATTGGAGCAAACCTTTTTTAGTCTGCACATTGTTTTTGAAGTGCTCTGTTGAACTGATTATACTGTTCAGTAAAAAAAAAATAAAAATGGTATGAAGTAATTAAAGGTTATGAAAATAAATCAGCTAAATTAGTCATTAATGGAACTTTCTCCAAGGCATAATTGGAAGTTAAGTGCCATTTGTGCCTTTGAAACTCTCCCCCTTAAAGTTCAACAGCTTTACATTCACTCCAGAATTCAACTATCTTCGGAGAGTTCTTGTGCTAGATGAGTTTGAGCAGCATGAAAATAGGCCATATTTCATAATTAGTGTTACTTATGGAGTTTCATTTTGGTAACTGGTATTTGGGGTCCTGTGGTCACCAATGAGCATTCACTGACTCTTCAGGGAGGTGAAGCCCAAAGCTGGGTATATTTTGTCGAGGAATCAAGGCTGCAGTCATGCAGAGCTGGTCCTTCAGTAGGTCTTGTCTATTCAGCTGATTTCCTCCACGTGGGGCCTTTGCCCAGCAGGAGCAGAACGCTGCAGTACGGCTCTGTTGTGATGTCAGAGACATCTGCAGGGAGTCTAATTTTTCTTTAATTCAGGCAGCTGAAGAAAAATGGAGGTTTAAAAATTGCTGCTTCCTTGCTAAATAACACTTCCTGCTTGCCCGCAGAAACGCGTTTGATGGATGACTAAAGCATGCTGATTTTGAAGATGATTGATTGGGAGATTAGGACTTGACTATTTAAAACCGATGGCACGACAGCCAAGAGAAGCAGCCCCTTGTTAATGCCGTGTGTTAGCTGTGCAGCAGAAATTCAAGCTGACTCCTCGTGGGCCAGCTCCCGGGGGCAGAGCTTCCCCCAGGGCTTGGTGCCTGAGCCAGCAGACTGGCTGTGTGGGCTGGGGGAGCTCCTCTTACCTCTGATCATGGGCAGGCAGAGGATCTCTGAACTCCTCGAGGTTGTGGGAGGTAGAAATATTGATATGAAGCCATCAGCTGTGCTGGCTCACCCTGAGGATGGAGCTAAAGGACTGGATATCTGCAGCGGGTTCAGATCATGGCGGTGCCCAGCTGAGGAGCAGGACCCTTGTTGTTCCACAGCAGCGTGGTCATTCCCAATCTCCTGTCTGCACCAGAGTGCACTGCTGGGAGCAATGCACCTGGAGGCAGGCCAGAGCTTTCCCTTCCTTATTCTGCCATAAATCAGAAGTCAGAATGTCTTTATTGTCTATATATAAAACTTCCCTTTAGGCTAAAAACCTAATGTAAAGCCTTTCCTCTTTTCTTTCCTTTCTAAGCTTGTATGACTCCTGTCATTTAATAGCAGCCCAATGAATCATGATAGCTGCCTTGCTGCTCCTTGCATGGGACTCCTCATTCATTACAGAAACAAGCAACCTGATTTGAGTGATAAATGACTGCTGGTGACCATTTGCAAAAATTCAGGGTTTCTGTTCACTGCGGAAGGAGAAAAAGAGCATTTTTCTTTTCTTTCTCTCAGAAAAGTTTCCAGGAGATTTTTTTGGCTGAGCTCACAAAACTTACATCCTCTTTGAAAGTAGTTTTTTTTTTTTTCAAACTTTACAAAGCTGCAATGTGTTTTGTGTGTGTAAATGTGGCTTTGCTTGAGAGGGGTGTTGGTACCAGCTTCTCATAGCGCATCACAAGGTATTAGAAAGTTCATTTTACCTAGGATAAGGTCAGCTTCTCAGCTGATAAGGGCTGTTGCAGACCTTGTGACTTGTATTTTATCATTTCTGAGTGGAGAAGGCTGCTCAGTACTTTCACCTCTTTTGTTTCTTTTCAATGCATAATCATGTGTAAGTTAAACCCCCAATTTTTTTGTATTTTCAGCCGTTTGATCAAGTCTGTATTGCACATGTAATCTTGTGTGATTTCAGAAAGCTAAATGATGCCAGAGGGTGAAGTCAATAATCAATGAATATAAAGCAAAGAGTTTGAAATACTTCAACCTGTGCACTTGATGAAAGCTGGTGTGATTTTAGTGTGAAACAGTACTTGGAAGGGAGCTGTGTGACCCTTCTGACTTCTATTTCTCTTTGGCTTTAAACTTTCCCAGATGATTTCGGAAAGTGGTGAAAAGGCTCCCTGGTGGAGCAGTGGCTGGAGGGTGGTTTGGAGATGAGTTTTGCCCATAGGGATATTCTCACACGTGTGCATACCTATGCACATGCACATCCTTTGGTTCCCCAGCCCAAATGTGACATTTCATGTGGCTTAGCTCCTAGCAGAAATGTGTTTTAAGACTTTAGACCACCCTTCTGCTGAGTGCTGCCTGATGTTCAGCCTCACCGCTTCCTCCTTCTGACCCATTAACTTCCAGCAGTCCCACGGTCGTTTGGACCACCCAGAAAACCCCATAAATATTCCATCTGGGATGTTTCACAGATGTTTCCCCCACAGGGCACAATTTATGGGTCTCTAATAATGCGTCGCTAATTCTGAACATAACCAGTAGCTGCAGTATTTCCTCAGGAATTTCTCACTTGTGCTCTCTCTGGAGTGTCAGGAGTGGAAGCTCCCAGAAATCAGTAATTTAGGAATGGTCTGAGGAGAGCCATGCATGAAGAGAGAACCTATATACTTATTTTTTGGTTTTTGACAGAGTAGCTCTAGTGATCATCATAACAGATAAATGT